CTTTGTGTGAAAGATAGCATCTACAAACTATGGTATAGATACTGCAATTTACGCCATTTTTTTGCTATACAGCGCTGCGCTAGTTTAACGGACAATTGCGTGGTCATGCAATACGGTACATAAATGAAATTTACCTCCTTTTTTTTTTTTTTTCACAAATTGAGCTTTCTTTCGGTTTTTTTTTTGCATTTTTTGTGCTATATAAAAAAAAAAAAAGGCTGACAAATTTGAAAAGAAACCAATATTTTGGACTTTTTCTAAAACATTCGGTGGTATTTGACATGTCTTTGCTAAAAAAAAAAAAACCCTACGTGTGCAGGAAAGTTTTTTTTTTTTTTTTTTGCGCAACTATAACGTAAAATAAGTGTTCACAAAAAAAAAAAAAAAGGCTGACCCCTAAAATTTGAGGAAAAAAAACTTGGTCCTCCTGGCCCAATATTTTGGACTTTTTGCTATAAAACATGTCCAGTGCAAAAAAAAATTTAAAAATCAAATTTAGTCAAATTAATGCCAAAATGTATTCTGCGACATGTCTTTGCTAAAAAAAAAAAAAACCAATACGTGTAAATTAATTGGTTTACATGAAAGTTATAGCATTTACAAATGGCAGGAAAGATACTGGGATTTTTCTTTTTTTTTTTTTTTTTTTTTTTTTTCTACTAATAATGGCGGCAATCAGCGACTTATGGCGACGATTAGCGACTTATGGCGGGACTACGGCGGACATTCTGACACTGGGGGGGAACTGACTTGGGGTCACTGACATCCCCAGTGACACCAATACAGTGATCAGTGCAAACAAAAACACTGACACTGTACTAATGGCACTGGGGAGGAAGGGGTTAACTTTATTCACTGAAAGGGTTAACTGTGTGAGGAGAGTGTTTTACTAGGGGGCGGGGGGGGTGTGTACTGCACGGAGACACACTGATCTGGACAGATAATCTCTTCTGTCCCGATCAGCATGTCAGGAGCTGTCAGGGAACTGACAGAAAGCACAGCTACTGCAGCTGTGCTCTCTGTCAGTGATTGCTGCTAATTGCCGGGACATAGCTGGTAACGACCGGCTGTGACCCGGCGACTGACATCTGTGGCCGTGATCGGCAGGACAGGTCGGGGCGGCGGCGGCGCGCCCCCTGCCTGTTTTGAAAAACACACGTTTTAAAACGTGGTTTTGCCCAGCCGTGCTGCCCTGCCGCCGTATTTCTCAGTGGCTGGGCGGCATGTGGTTAAAGTACGTATATTGCAGTTAACAATAGACATTGGTGGAAAGGTCTATAGCCACACCACACTGAATTTGTCCTATCTGATCTCAGAAGCGAAGCAGTGTTGGGCCTGGTTAGTATTTGGATGAGAGACTTTGAGAGAGAGACCTTGGTGATTTATAGGATTTTTTTCATTGCCATTTATTTTTAATTACTGGATTACAGAGACTGTTGTCAAATACTTTTACATATACTGCATTCCTAAAGTATTAAGACTCCCTTCACAGTTTCAATTTTATTGTAGCCTGATGCAACAGTTTACATTTTTTTTCTCTCTCATTAATGCTACACTCAGTACCTCATAATGACAAAGTGAAAACCGAATTTTAGAAATGTTTGCAAATTCACAAAAAAGGAAAAACTGAAATATCACATTGGCATAAGTATTTAGACCATTTGCAACAATGCTTAAAATTTAGCTCAAGTGCTTCCCATTTCGCTTGATTGTTGGGGAGATGTTTCTACACCTTGATTAGAGTCCACCTGTGGTAAATACATTGATTATACATGATTTGGAAAAGTATGCACCTCTCTAAAAGACCTCACAGCTGACAATGCATACTGTATCAGAACAAAAGCCATAAGGTCAAAGGAACTGCCTGCAGAGCTCAGAGACAGGATTATTGCAAAGCACAGATCTGGGGAAGGCTACAAAAAAAAGAAACTGCTGCACTGAAGGTTCCCAAAAGCACAATGCCTCCATAATTCTCAAATGGAAGTTTGGCACAACCAGGACTCTACCAAGAGCTGGTCACCCAGTCAAACTGAGCAGGTTTTTTTTATCTAGGGGAAACCTTGGTTTTCTTCAGCTGCAGGTGCGGCTCGGTGATGAGACTGTTTTACCATCAGATTACTACAAGCCTCTGGTGGAGCTGCTGTGCCAGGAAGAAAAAGCTTCTTACAAGTTGGAGTAGAGAAACGATGAAGGAGATGCAATAAGGAGTATGCCATAAAGGATATACCACTGAGGTGGAAAAAGCTGTGTGGCCCTGTGTGGGTCAAGGAAGGGAGGTGAGCAGGCATTGCTGCCATTTGGAGGATTCAAGTTTTCACTTAGAAGTGGAGAACACGTGTGGTTTTGAAGCACAGAGTCACATGCATGGATTTTTTTCACTAATGATTTTGTATCTATGTAGTTATGGTCTATTGATATAGAGCACTAATGAGAGTAAAAAATTAATATATCACATGTGATTTGTACTCACTGGTTAGTTTCATTTATTGTTTTGTGGAATATATGCACTGTAAGTAGGTTTCACATTGTGTGTGTCCATTCACTAATTGTATATATATTTGGTTACACTATTCCACCTTTCCCCACTGGGGGGTTGGTAGTAATATATTTGATATTAAGTTATCACATTTGGAATTGGTATATATCTTAGTACCACTTTTTAAGTGTGTTTTCACTTTTATATAATTTAAGCGCTTCACTATTTTTTTCTTTATAATTGGACTTGGTGGTTTAAGTTGAGTGACAGCAGCTAAATAATAGAAATTAATTTTCCCTATTGAGCGCAGGAGGATTTTTTTTATATTTAGAGTGGCTAGACTGACGTCTTCTTCAGTGCAAAAGCCATAAATTATGGAGGCTACTGTGTTGGAAAAAAAGTGGAGGGGGTCTGAATACTTTGATTGCACTGTAGAACATCCCAGTTGTCTCACATTTTAGATTGCACCCTACAACAGGCAAAACAAAGGGTTTTAACACTGAACACCAAACCGATGAGCATGAGTAGAATCCTATTCCCACAGAGGGTTTGCTCCCCTTTCTATGTACTTATTTAGTTTACTGGACCACAGCAATGGAATTCTTTTACTTTAAACTGCTTTTCTGCTAATGGATTGTCTTTGGGATATTCCATGATATTGAAGGAGTTGATTTAGCATACTTTATAGTGCCACTTTTCACTGTTTTATTATATGCTTATTCCTGTGTTTTTGGTTTTTTTGCATTATTAATGGTGGGATTATGACATCATGGGGGTGTTGCACAGGGTTCTATATGTTACACCAGGATATATGTGTGTTGAATATACTTCTTGTCACTATGTTGCCTTGAGAAAAGGACCCTGCAATTCCCTGAAACGGTATATTATCCCTTATGTGATACTGTCTCTTCAACATAAACACTTGAAACATATTTATTTAGAGTGCTGGTGCTGACTGAGCAGTCTATTCAAAGCAGAACTAGAAGCACTTACTCTACCTATGAGGGCACTAGAGTTCGGCCCCACAGCTGACCCGCTGTCAAGATATTCTATGGCTTTGTGCTCCTGGTTGATTCTAGCTTCTGCACTTAATCCCTAAAGAGTCCACACTAGAATGGATGAGGAACCTGAGAGAGCGACAGCAAGGATGAAGTCGCTGCACCAGGCCCCGAAGAACCATCTGTCTGCTCTTGTGAATTTCCACTCCTTCGGCTACTAAGTAAGGGGAAGTGGTTTTGATTGCATATGCACCTTCCACGTACCAGGGATAACATGGGATCAGGGTGCAATTATTATTATTATTATATATATGATTTATATAGCGCCAACAGTTTGCTCAGCGCTTTACAATAGAACGGGAGACAATACAGCAACATCACAGTTCAATGCAAGAGGGAAAGAAGGGCCCTACTCCTTGGAGCTTACAATCTAGGAGCACTGCAATGATTTGAAATCTCTTTTGCTCATCTCTCATCTAGCAGATACATGGTGTAGAGTATGTGCTAGCAGCAGATGGTAATGGCATTTCTAAAACTGTCTTTCAGGGCAGGGTCCAGCCAGACAGAACCCTGCCACCAAACAAGAGCCCCCCAATTCTGAGACCCAGTAGTAAGAGATGTGAAACATGTAATTCCAAACTCTTAGGCTCTTGAAGCAAATTTTTGCCAGATGTGTATTGATAGATAAAGAATCCAGCGGTCTCTTTTAAATGATTTATTGATTCTATGAGAGAAGAGATGCTCTCCGCTTTCTATTTTTCTTTTTCTTTTTTTATGGTGTAACAATCCAATGCATGCTGTGCCGGTCAGTCCAATCCACCATTACAGAATATTTCTAAAGAGATCTGGGACTCTTCTGGCAAGTCTTAGGGGCTAAAATTTGCTGCAGAGAATGTTTTAGTGTAAAGCTCTAAAGTACTAATTACCTTCTGATGAAACTGAGGACCACCTCAATGTAGTTCATGTGGCTCTGTCAGGGCTCCGGGTATGACCAGAGGTATGTGAACTGACGCAGGGAAACGCAGGCTTCAGATATGTTTTAAACAATATAATTTATTAATACTAACAATACAAAACGCAGTGCAATACTAAAACATAACCAAAGTGCAAACGAACCAAACCAAGCCACCCACAGATAACAATACATACAATGCAAGCATAGTCAGGCAGGCCGGGTCAATAACAATCGGGCAGGTAGGAACAGGAGGAGCAGGCAGAGAGTAGTCAGGTCACGAGCCGGGTACAGCAACTAACAGGCAGGTAGGTACAGGGGGTCAGGCAGAGAATGGTCAGGGTCACAAGCCAGGGATCAAACAGAAGTCAGCAGAGGTCAGGATCAGGCAGGGTCGGCAACGAGTCAGTCAGGCAGGAACAGGAATGCAGGTAACAAGATACAGGGGCCCATAGAAAAACACACACCAAGGTCCAGACTGCAGGTCTGGCCATCCCTTAAATACACCTCCGTAATCAGCTTCAGGTGTTTGGCTGACTGCAGGGTTGAGTCTCTGATTGCTGAGAGCACCTGCTTGCCAGCCCTGGTACTGCAGCCCACAAGGCAGGTGAGTCCCACCATTACTGGCAAGTCCATTCCTGACAGTACCCCCCCTCAAGGAGCGGCCTCAGGACGCTCCAAACAGTCCTAGCTGGGCAAAATGTTCCACCGCCCAGGTCTGGTAACTGGCGGGATATCAAAGACTGGCACATCGGGCAGGACTCCGGGCAGAGGCACATGGGGCTGGACTCCGGGCAGCGGCACATGGGCTGGACTCCGGGCAGCGGCACATCGGGCTGGACTCCGGGCAGAGGCACATCGGGCTGGACACCGGATCACCAGGCGGAGCAGCGGGCACCGAATCACCAGGCGGGGCACCGGGCCACTAGGCGGCGCAGCGGGCACCGTGCCCCGGGCGGAGCGCTGGGCCCCCGGAAGGGGCGGTGGGCACCGGGTCATCAGGCACGACAGCGGGCATCGGGTCACCAGGCATCAGGTCATTTGGCTCGCCAGCGGGCACCACGTCACCAGGCAAGGACAGTGGGTTCCGAGTCACCAGGCACGACAGTGGGTTCCGAGTCAACTGGATGTCTGGCTCGACAGGGCACGGGTCACCAGACATTGGATCATTTGGCTCGACAGCGGGCATCAGGTCACCAGGTAGGCAGTGGGACAGCGGGCACTGGGTCACCAGGCATCAGGTCATTTGGCTCGCCAGCGGGCACCGCGTCATCTGGCAAGGCAGTGGGCACCGAGTCACCAGGCACCAGGCATCGACAGTGGGCTCTGAGTCAATTGGCACGGGACAGCGGGCACTGGGTCATCAGGTACCAGATGTCTGGCTCGACAGCAGGCACCGGGTCATCTGGCTCGACAGGGGCATTGGGGTCAGTCCAGGCATGACAGCGGGCACTGGGTCATCAGGCATTGGATCGCCTGGCTCGACAGCGGGCCTCGGGTCACCAGGCATGACAGCGGGCACCGGATCATCAGGTCAGGATCGTCTGGCTCGACAGCGGGCACCGGGTCATCTGGCGTTGGATCGTCTGGCTCAGGACAGTGGGCATCGGGTCACCAGGCATGACAGCGGGCACTTGGTCATCAGGCATTGGATCGTCTGGCATGACAGCGGGCACCGGGTCATCAGGTACCGGATCGTCTGGCTCGACAGCGGGCATCGGGTCACCAGGCATGACAGCGGGCACTGGGTCATCAGGCATTGGATCATCTGGCTCGACAGCGGGCATCGGGATCACCAGGTATGACAGCGGGCACTGGGTCATCAGGCGTGATAGCGGGATCATCAGGCTGGATCAGTTCGGGTCACCACATGAAAAACATCAAAGAAAGCGCCAATCATCAGGTACGGATCGTCTGGCTCGACAGCGGGCATCGGGTCACCAGGCATAACCGGGGCACCGGGTCAAAAGTACACTAAATCTGGATCGACATGCGGGCACCCGGGTCACTCATGGATCGTCTTTCGACAGTATATCGGGCACCAGCATGACAGCGGGCAAACTTGGTATAAATTTATATTGGATCGTCTGGCCCAGTGAACGGGTCATCAGGTATAAATCTTATTCATGTACTCGACAGCGGGCACGGGTCCCAAAGAAGCGGGCTTAAGACAAATAAATCCACCGTGCTCAATCCACCACCAGATGAATGGAATAAACTCGGGCCAGAGCTTAATGCTGATAGGAAATTATAAATCAGTTCACAAGCTGTATTTGACTCTGGGAGCGATGGGTACAGAATCAGGCTGAAAGAAGCCAAGGCACCAGGCTGTAATTTGAAATGGAAGGCAGGAGCAATAGACTGCAGCCACTCTGCGATATGGCAGAACTTTTTATACAACTACTGGATCACTGCACATAAATGGCAGTCTGCACTCGAAATAAAGGAAAGAGCTGGATGATGGAACAGTAAGTAAGGGAACTGTATATATTTATTAAGGTCCTCATCTTACTCAAAAAACAAGTGTCCAGACAGTGGTATAACAGGGGACTGGTATGTGGTAGTTAGAAGCATATAATGGGCCGAACTCCGGGGGTGCTGTCGGGGATGCAGGAAGAGTGCCTTGAGCAGAGGAATGACGTTGCACGCTGACTGAAGCTGGGTGCAACAAGTCTGACCATGTCTGCAGTATGGGTTGAACAAAGCTGAGCTTACACAAAGCCTGTCTGGTCAAAGACTGCACTGCGTTTATACAATCCCTTAATACCTGTGGTGAACATGCAGCATAATGCTCCAAGAAGCAATCCACATCATCCTCTAATAACCACACCAGGACTCTACCTGGTCGGCACTAAATGGTGGCAAAAAGTCATTCCTGCTTTCAGGGGTACCAGATGAAGCCAACTCTACACAAACCTGAATCAAAGGTTGCACCTCAGAACTCTGTGCCCTGATCTACTAGAACATGAGCGATCCGTATACATTCTAGCAGTTGATCCTGGGTATACTCCCTCAGAGTCTGATAAGCATATTCTCTGTCATCAAAAACCAGCAGCGACAAATACACAACCTCATCAAGATCCATCCTTCCCAGCAACAAGCCAAGATGGTTTCCCTGTGCAGCCACTTCTGGTTAGGATTGGCCTTGGTGTAATGTCAGGGCTCCGGGTATGACCAGAGGTATGTGAACTGACGCAGGGAAACGCAGGCTTCAGATATGTTATAAACAATATAATTTAATAATACTAACAATACAAAACGCAGTGCAGTACTAAAAAATAAACAAAGTGCAAACGAACCAAACCAAGCCACCCACAGATAACAATACATACAATGCAAGCGTAGTCAGGCAGGCCGGGTCAATAACAATCGGGCAGGTAGGAACAGGAGGAGCAGGCAGAGAGTAGTCAGGTCACGAGCCGGGTACAGCAACTAACGGACAGGTAGGTACAGGGGGTCAGGCAGAGAATGGTCGGGGTCACAAGCCAGGGATCAAACAGGAGAAGTCAGCAGAGGTCAGGATCAGGCAGGGTCAGCAATGAGTCAGTCAGGCAGGAACAGGAATGCAGGTAACAAGATACAGGGGCCCATAGAAAAAACACACACCAAGGCCCAGACTGCAGGTCTGGCCATCCCTTAAATACACCTCCGTAATCAGCTTCAGGTGTTTGGCTGACTGCAGGGTTGAGTCTCTGATTGCTGAGAGCACCCGCTGGCCAGCTCTGGTACTGCAGCCCACAAGGCAGGTGAGTCCCACCATTACTGGCAAGTCCATTCCTGACAGGCTCTGGGTATTAAAGAAGCTAAAGCAGCTTTATGCCCATTACAGAATGAATAAGGGAAAGCAGCAAAGGAAATCTCTTTTTTATTGAAATGTTAAATGATGTTCATCTCTGTGCACCACAGTAGAGGTGTGGTAAGATGGGCAGACATGAGTCGATATTCAGTGCAAACAAATGCAGCATGTCTGCATTCTGTTTGATAGACCACAACTCTTCAGAGAGTCATTATATGCCTTATTTCACAATATTCTTCTGTAGTAAGAAAAAATAAGGTATATTCAGCAAGTTAGCCACTTCTAGTTTTTGGTAGTTTATTTCTTTCCTCCCAGACCTCCACTTCTGAAGCCAAATTCTCCATTCAGCTCCATCACAAGCCCTGGATCCAAGCCAGTCACGTCTGACACCAAGATGTCACAATGAAGGAGCACTCCACTTTTCAATGTGGGGGGATGTCTGTTGGCATTTTGGGTCTGGGACATGGTATCCCATAGATACAAGCTGGAATTTCATTCCCTGCATTATGTCCTCAAATTCTCTGCCTCAACGATGAGAATATTGCCTTGCAGCATTTCTTTGGTAGTGATTGTCTCAGTTCCTACAACCAGTTTTTAGTTCTAACTAGGGAATGTGCCCCATCCTAGACCTGAAGGTTCTCAACACCTTGTAGGTTTAAAGGTTCCGCATGGAATTGGCCCTGTTTTTAATAGCAACAAGAGGAATTGCTAGAATCAATAGATATCAAACATTCATTTCCATTTTTCCCCTACATGTGTTGTTTCTGTGGCTTGCACTGGGTGAGCAGTACTTCCATTTTGTAGCTCATCCCTTTGGTATGTCCACAGCCCCCTGGGTCTTCACCCAGCTGCTTTTCCCTATCATGCTGCTGTGCTGTCATGGAATCCACATTTGATATCTCAACTATCTTCACTTGGAGCACTCATCCAGGCCCTGGCAGCCAATGTGCAGTGGGTGATACAGACCTGTCAGAGCTTTAGGTAGATCTTCAACCTCCAGATGTAGGCGCTGGATCCATCCCACAGCTTCTAGTACCTCGGCTGAGTCTTGGACAAGGCCCAAGCCTAGGGTTTTCTTTCCCAGGAACATGTATTGATTCTTTGTGCTCATGTCTGGACCCTGCACTCTAAGAAGCTTCCACCAATTTTGCACTGGGCCTCATGGTGGCCTGCGTTTGAGAAATTGGTGTTTGGCCAGTTTCACTCCAGGCCTCTGCAGCTCAATGTACTGACCGCTTATGACACATTCCCTCAGTCTTTGGACCAGACTATGCACCTGTGTCCCAAGGATATTCTGTACTGCTGGTTGACTAGCCTTGCACTGGATTCAGGAAAGTAATTTTGTCTGTTAACCTGGACAGTTCTCATAATGGATGCCTGCCTGTAAGGCTGTGGAGGAATCCTTGGGACAGAAATGGTCCAAGGGACTTCATTGTTGAGGGAGTCCAGACATCCTATCAATGCTTTCAAGCTAAGGGCCATTCACCTTTACTTTCTGTTGTGGGCCAACCAGCTTCAGGTGTGACCAACAAGGGCTCAGTTAGACAGCTGTGGCTTACATCAATCATCAGGGAGGCACCAGAAGCTTCATGACCCTTCAAAAAGTGGACCCAGTTCACATTGTTGGAGTAGACAATTGGCATGCTGACTTCTTTAATGGTCAAGTACGGTCTTTTTGACCTTATGGTTTCCACACCTGCAAATGTGCTGTGGGTTGAGATACGTGGGTGTGCCATTCAGAATGTCCTTCTTCTGTCTGGACTGAGGCAATATTCGGCCTTCAGCACCCTGATTGGCCAAGGTCGAAACTTGACCATTCTCTTTCAGAGACCTTTGCTCATTCACTTTTAAGGCCTTTGTTAGGGGATGCTCACATTGTTCCCCCCATTTGTGTACCTGTTTCACCCATGCATCTCAGATCTACAGAAGCCTTCCTGTGAGCTTATTCTGAATACTCCCCTGACTGTCCTTAATTGTAAGGTTGCCTTTCTCATGGCTTCTCTTCAACAAAACAAGTCTCAGCCCTTGTGCCCTTAGGTAATGCAGAAGGAAGTTCTTTATAAAGACATGGGGATTTTTATTTTTTTAAATTATTTAGACAGGTGATTTAAGGGTCTTGGCCTCTTTTCTCCATAAGGTGTGTTGTGACAAACTTGGAGCATAGAGGAGAGCACATGGAGGCAGGTCACATGAAACCTGATGTGCGTACATTATTGGGGAAACTCTGGGTACAGACAATAGAAAAGCAAGTTCACAGAAAAACACAAGACACAGCAATGAAGAATGATTCTCAGGGTGGCAATATGGGGCAGCAGAGGGCAGGTAGTCCACAGGGAAGAGCAGTGGGGGCACAGCAGGTCCTCAGAACAGGCAAGGCACAGAGGTTTAAGTCCTGGGCAAAGGTTTTGGGCAGAAAAGGGTTAAGTCCAGCGCACAGGGCAAAGGGTTCCGGGTAGAAAAGGGTTAAGTCCAGGGCAAAGGGCTCTGGGCAGAGCAGGGTTAAGATCTAGATAGAGAGGGTTAAGTCAAGCACGGGGAAGAGAGCACAGCAGGGACTGCAGTACTCTGGCAAAATGGGGGTTAACTAACCAGCCACCAGTGGAGAGCCTGGGGTGGACAGAGCTGTGGGGATGGTAGTAGCAGTAGGTCAGGTGCGATCTCCTGGAGCCTGCGGCTCAGTTAGTAAAGGAGGGGGGGGTTCTGTGAGGTCTGTACTGTGGCCAGACCTCACAGAACCCCCCCCCCCCCCTTTTACTGACCCCCTTCTGTACTGTAAGAAATAAGGCTTTTGACTTGCCTGTAAGGCTTTTGACTTGCCTGTAAAATCTTCTAAGAGCACAGTACAAGAGAAAGGCCATCCTCCCCTCTGTCCTGGCATTTTCCTCTGATGACTGCTTGCTAAAAAAACTGAGGATTGCTGGGAGGGGTTATGGGGGCTGTACTAAAAGTGTTTGCCAGTGCTGTCACCTGAAGGTAGCCATATATAACCCATGGTCTTGATTAATAGAAGCCTGTGTTTTCTACTATACTGAAAGAAAAAAATTTCACAGGTAATTAAAAAATCCTTCTTTTCAGAGAAGGAACACTGAGGGATCAAATCTTAAATTCTCCTCAAAGTCTTATCCAAAGCAACAATGTACATTGCTGATGCCTTAGCATAATCAATACGTATAACAGGTTTGAGCACTGCCCTAGTCAACTTG